CACACCAGATTCAATAGATTTAATTGATATCTTTATAGCATTTCACCCAAAAGCAGCAGAATATACATTCTCTTCAAGTGCACCTGGAACATTTTCTAGGATAGATCACATGGTGGGACACAAAACAAGTCTCAATAAATGCAAGAAGAGCCTTGTGTGGTGTAAGTCAGTTTATGGGAGCATCGTCCCACACACTGAAAGGATGCAGGTTCAGTTCCCAGTCTGGGTACATATCTCTGGGTTCTAAACCTCGTCAGGAGGCATATGGGAGGCAATTTACCAATGTTTCACACATCAGTTTCTCTCCCTCCCCCTCTCTCCAAGGTTAGTGGACATAACCTCAGATGAAGATAAAAAAAATAAATAAATAGCCTGGCCAGTGTGGCTCAATTGGTTGGAGTGTCATCCAGTGCACCAAAAGGTGGGGGGTTCAGTTCCCAGTCAGGGCAAATACCACGGTTGCAGGTTCGATTCGATCCTCAGTCAGGGTGCATGCGGGATGCAATTGATCAATGTTTCTCTCTCACATTGATGTTTCTCTCTCTCTCTCTCTCTCTCTGCTGTCAAATTGAATAGATAAATATATAAATAAATAAATAAATATAAAACAATTTAAGAAGATTGAAGTCATATCAAGCATCTCTGACCATAGTCATATGAAACTAGAAATCAATTGCAAGAAGAAAACTGGAAAACACCAAAGGCTAAATAATAGACTACTAAAAACTAAATGGGTTAACAACAAAATCAAGGAAGAAGTTAAAAGCTACCTTAAACAAATGAAAATGAGAGTAAAACAACCAAAAATTCATGGGACACGAAGAAAGCAGTTCTAAGAGGGAAATTCATAGCATTCCAGGCATATCTCAAAAAAACAAGAAAAAGCTCCCCCCAAAAATCTAACTTTATTTTTAAAGGAATTGTAAAAGAACAACAAAGTCAAAAGTGAATATAAAACAGGAAATGATATCAGAGCCGAAATAAACAAAAAAGAGTCTAACAAAACAATAAAAAAGATCAATGAAACCAAAAGCAAACCTTTAATTAGCTTATTAAGAAAAATAGAGAGGACTCAAATAAATAAAATCATAAATGAAAGATAAGAAGTAAAACTGACAAAAGAAATTCAAGGATTGTAAGAAAATATTATGAACAACTATACAACAACAAATTGAATAATCTGGACAAAATGGATTAATTCCTAGGAACATATAATCTTCCAAAACTGATTCAGAAAGAATCAGAGAATTTGAATAGACAGATTACAATGAGTAAAATTGAAGCAGTAATCAAAAAACTCCAAAAAAAAAATAGTCCTGGATTGGATGGCTTAGCAGGTGAATTTTACCAAATATTCAGAGAAGAAATAAACATTTACCCTTCTCAAACTCTGCCAAAATATTCAAGAGAAAGGAAGACTCCAGAGCTCATTTTACAAGGCTAACATTATCCTAATTCCAAACTCAGATAAAGACACTACAAAGAAAGAGAATTATAGACCAAGATACCCAATGAACATAGATTCTGAAATCCTCAACAAAATATTAGCAAATGGATCCATGAATATATTAAAAAGATCATATAACATGACCAAGTGGGACTTATTTTGGGGATGCAAGGCTGGTACAATAACCATAAACTAATAAATGTGATACATTATATTAAAAAGCACATGATCATATCAATAGATGCAAAAAAGGCATTTAATAAAATCCAACACCCATTTTTTATTTTTTTTTAATTCTCAACAAAGTGGTAATAGATCATATCTCAACCTATTAAAGCCCATATATGAAAAACCTACATACTCAATGGGCAAAAACTAAAGCCATTTCTCCTAAAAACTGGAGCAAGACAAGGTTGTCTACTTGCACCATTTGTATTCAACATAGTACTGGTAGTACTAGCCTCAGTGATCAGACAAGAAGAAAAAATAAAAGGCATCCAAATTAGCAAGGATGTTATAAAACTGCCATTATTTTCAGATGACATGATATGTCCCAAGGCACCAAGAATAAATTCAAGATTTGGGAGGACAGGGATGCAGACTGGTGCAACCACTGTGGAGAACAGAATGAAATTACCTCAAAAAACTGAACTCCCATTCGACCCAGTAATCCCACTCCTAGGAATATATCCTAAGAAACCAGAAACACCAATCAGAAAGGAAATGTGCACCCCTATGTTCATAGCAGCACAATTTACAATAGCTAGGATTTAGAAACAGCCTAGATGCCCATCAGCAGATGATTGGATCCAAAAACTGTGGTACATCTACACTAGGGGTGTCGAACTCAATCAGAGAAGGGGCCAAAATCTAAAATCCAGCCTAAATCGCGGGCCGAATGGTTTACTGAACAGTCATAAACTGTCATTGTGATGGAAACGCAGCGGAGTGCAGTGATGACAGCGCGGTGCGGGCCACATTGCAAGGCCTGGCGGGACGGATTTGGCCCATGGGCCTTGTGTTTGACACATGTGATCTACACAATGGAATACTATGCTACCATAAAAAAGAAGGAATTCTTATCATTTGCAGCAACCTGGATGGAATTGGAGAACATCATGCTGAGTAAAATAAGCCAGTCAATGAAAGAGAAATACCACATGACCTCACTCATTTATGGATAATAAGGAACATTATAAACTGATTAACAGAAAGATAGATACAGAGACAATAACGCAACAAACACTGTCAAATTACAGCGGGGAGGATAGGGAGATATGGGGGAGATGAGAGATAAACCGAAGGACTTGTATGCATGCAAATAAGCAAAACCAATGGACGAAAAACTCGGGGGGGTGGGGCATGTATGGGAGTGGGGGGGGGGGGGCAATGGAAAGATATGTACACATATAATACATAAATAAATAGTAAAAAATAAAAAATAAAAGATTTGGGAGGACAAATTTGGGGATGGTAGAAAATGTTTATTGAGTGCTACTGTATGGCAGGTCCAAATTCTAAATATATACATAAATTTTGTTTTTGTTTTCTTTGAATTGCTAAACCTGTGAAGAGGCCTATCATCTAAACAAAAACACATGAACAATAAAAGCAAACACAGATAAGTGGGACTACATCAAACATAAAAGCTTCTGCATAGCAAAAGAAATAACAAAATGAAAGGCAGCCTTCAGAATAGGAGAAAATTTTTACAAACTAATTTCAGATGAAGGGTTAATGTTGATTTTACTCATATATGGAATTTAATAAACAAATTGAACTGCAAAGAAAAATACGGACAGTCATAGGTAAAGAATAACAGACACCTCCGGTGGAGGGGTGGTGTGTTGGGTGGAGGGTGGAGGAATTGAGCAAAAAAGAAAGAGAAAACTCATGGACATGGATAAAAGTGTGGTGGTTGTGGGGGTGGGGACAGAAGGGGCGAGGGAGGTGGATGAGGGAATAGAGGGGATAAATGGTGAAAGAAAAATTAATAGAACAGAACAGAACAGAACAGAATACTCATACAACTCAATATAATAAAACAGCCTAATTTAAAAATGGGAAGAGGAACTGAAAAGGAATATTGCCAAAGATATCCGAGTGGACAACAGGCACATGAAAAGATTCCAACATCACTAAATGCAAATTCCACCACAATGAGTTATCACTTTACATGGATTAGAATGGCTATTATCGGGAACACAGAGATACGTGTTGAAGAGATGTGCGGAAAAGGGAACTCTTATACACTGTTGGTGGGAATGTAAATTGGTTCAGCCACTAAGGAAAACAATATTGAGGCTTCCCAATAATTAAAAATAGAACTATCAGAATCTTCACAACCTGGACCAGCAAAATGGCTCCCACCAAGAAGTAGGGTGAGAAAAAGGGCTTTTCGGCCTCAACAAGATAGTGACCAGAGAACACACTATCAACACTCACAAGCTCATCCATGGAGTGCGTTTCAAGAAGCGTGCCCCTCAGGAACTCAGAGAGATCTGGAAGTTTGCCATGTAGAAGACGGGGAACTCCAGATGTGTGCATTGACACCAAGCTCAGCAAGGCTATCTCAACCGAAGGAATAAGGAATGTCCCTTATGTATCTGAGTGTGGTAGTCCAGAACATGTAATGAGGAAGAAGATTCACTGAACAAATCTGTATGTTGGCTACCACTTTCAAAATCTATAGTTAATGCTGAATGTTGAACAAAGTTATAAAACTACAACAACAACAAAACAAAACAAAACACCAGAAAATAGGTTCTCAAATTGGTAGAGCAATTTCCAGTGTACACCAAGGAGAGGCCTTAGGGAGGGGCCAGGAGTTGGGAAGGAAGGGGTTATGGGGGGGGGGGGGGGGGCGGGGAAGAACATTTGTAAAGCTTTCAACGATAAAGTTAGATTTTAAAAAAAGAAAGAAAGAAAATAACAATGGATATTAAAGAGGTGTTTTGCTTATCATAGCATTATTCATAATAGCCAAAATATGGAGACAACATATATGTCTATACCAACTGATGAATGGATCAATTAGATGTGCCATATATTCACAATGGAATATTATTCAGCCATGCAAAAGGAAAACATCTGCAATTTGTAACAACATAAATGAACCTTGAGCATATTATGTTAAATTAGAGGCCCAGTGCACAAAATTCATACAGTGGGTAGGGAACCTCAGCCCAGCCTGTATCCTCTTCAATCTAGGACTCCTTGGGAGATGATCAACTGCTGATTTAGGTCTGACATCCCTCTCACAATCTGGGACTGCTGGCTCACAACCACTTGCCTAGCTGCCAGCCTGATCACCCCCTAACACTCCCCTGCCAGCCTGATTGATGACTAACTGCTCCCCTGCTGGCCCAAATGCTCCCCCCCCCCCCCTTGCAGGCCTGGTTATCCCCAACTGCCCTCCCCTGCAGGCCTGGTTGCCCCCAACTGCCCTCCCCTGCTGGCCTGGTTGCCCCCAACTGCCCTCCCCTGCTGGCCTGGGATAGAAAATATAGGAAAGCCCAATATCTACTGATGTGTTTGTCTTTATCTCTTTCAGTTGACGATTCTGGAAAAATCAGTAAGTTTGGATCATTTCCTTACCTTACCTATTTTTGTATCCAGGACTTTTGAGATTTTGTTTCCAATTTTTTTTGTATTCCACATTCTTCTAACTTAATCTTAAATGATATTCTCATACTTTGATTTTCTCTTATCTATGTTTATTTTATAACAAAATAGAATGGTCTTGTATTTGATTTGGGTTATTTACTACCAAAGAAGATTGTTAGCATATATTCCCATCAAGTCTACCACAAGACAGCCAGTTTTCCTTGTGCTATAATCTGGCAATAAATAATTTGTACTAAAAAAGAAAATTCTCTAAAACTAATGTAAAGAATAGGTGTTGGGCCCTGACTGGTTTGATTCAGTGGATAGAGTGTCGACCTGCAGAATAAAGGGTCCCAGGTTCGATTCCTGTCAAGGGCATGTGCCTTGGTTATGGGCAAATCCCCAGTAGGGGATGTGCAGGAGCAGCTGATCGATATTTCTCTCTCATCAATGTTTCTAACTCTCTATCCCTCTCCCTTCCTTCCTGTAAAAAAATCAATAAGATATTTTTTTTAAAAAAAAAAAGAATAGGTGTCGGTCATCTACTAATGGGCACGTGGGCTGTTTCCAGAACTTAGCTATTGTAACTTGTGCTGCTATGAACACAGAGGTGCCTATATTCTTTCTGACTGGTGCTTCATGTTTCTTAGGGCATGTTCCTAGGGGTACATTTACACAATGGAATACTATGCAGCAGTAAAAAAGTAGGATCTCTTACCCTTTGATACAGCATGGAGGCACCTGGAGAGTATGTTAAGTGAAATAAGCCAGTCAGAGAAAGAGAAGTATCATTGATCTCACTTAGATGTAGAATCTAATGAACAAAAACTGATGAAAAAAATAGATTCCAAGACATAGAAGCATAGAACAGACTGTCAAATCTCAGAGGGAACAGGGGGAGGGGTTGGGGGGAGGGATATTAACCAAAGAACTTGTATACTTATACGGACACAGACAATATGGTGGTAAAGGCCGGTGGGGGGGGGGGGGGGGGGGGGGAGGGGCAGCAGATGCAGTCTAGAAGAGTCAATGGGGGAGGGAAGGGGACATTTGTAATACTTTCAACAATAAAGATTAATAAAATATGTACATTAGCTATGGATGTAAAAAAGAATAGGTGTCAGGACAAGACACAATTTTGATAATTGACCAACAACACATATTTCAAATTGATCTAAAGGAGAAGGGGGTGGGGACTGACTTGTGAAAAACAAAGAAAGCAGGAAATTACAATGGAAAGGTAGGAAATTAGTAAAACAGATATTGCTTATCAAGGATTCAGTCCCACACACTAACCAAATGAGCCCCTAACGATCACCTTCGCTGGGAGGAGGATTGGAGCGTGCCCAGCAGCACTCCTGGGGCTGAAATTCCTGGGGGTTCCACATCCTCTGCTGGTCCCGCAGAACATTTACTACAGAGGTCTCGTTAGAGCTGGGTCCTCCTTGAGTTAGAAAATTCCCACTAATCTTTCTTTTGTGTTTTATTTTTAGCACTATCTCCTGTGGGTAAGTTCCTTTTCTATTCTTGTGACATTTGACATTGTTTCTGGCCTGGCTGTTTCTACTCCCAAAATACATACTTGTGCCTCTAAGGCCATGTGAAATGTCCCCATTCTCCAAAATGAAGCAATACTTGAAATAACTATTTTTGGAGAGATTGCTATAGAGGAGATAAAGCTCATACAAAAGGGTGGCTTCCTCTCTAGCCACCCTCCTGGCTCTGGAAGAGCCTCCGCACTGACTCGCAGCAAAACACAGTGAAAGAAAGATGGGTTCTGAACTCCAGTAGTTCCTCGCCAGTAAGTTAAAACTCGTTTTCAGTTGTACGTAAAGGCCTTACTGTATCATGTTAATAGAAAAAATAGTTCAGGACAAAATCTTATCTATTTTCTATTGCCCCTAAGTAACTTTACTTTGAGGGATAATAGGCATTGAACACCTACTACATCCTGTGCACTGTGCTGGGCATTTTCAAGCCCAAAAGTGTCTCTTATTCTCACCACAGCCCTGCTTGGTAGCTATTATTACCCCCCACTTTACAGATTAGGAAACTGGCTCAGACACTTAGCAGAGGTTAACAAATTGGTAAAAAGCAGGATGCAAACACAGGGCTTCCTGCCCCAAAGTGAACATACTTTCCACCGCTACATATTGCTTCTTATACGGAACCACAAATGCCTCTGTTGGGATTACTCCTGAAACCTTATCTTTAAAGCAAATATTTGTAAATACAAATATGCATCTATTAGAGAAGCTATAAGTTAAATGCACACAGAAGGCTAAAAATAAAAGACATCCATGTAAATTGATGCTTGGCTTTTAACTATTTTCTAAATTCAAATTTCTCTATGTCAGGATTATTTAATGTAAGCTCAGAGCTCTTCAAGGAAATCAATCATATAAACAAAAGAGAAAAGTAATTTTTAAAACTCTGTAAACATATCGTATGAACCAAGACTGAAATGTAGTGAGATACACTCAGGCATCTCAAACATTCTAGCCACTGACAGACACAAACATGTTCCTTTTTTAAACCTCGCTCTTCTTCCTCAGTTCCCCCTGGAACGAGGCTTGGCTTGTGGTTGGGGAGAGGCCGTGAGGTTGGGAGAGATGGGCATTCAGAGCAGTCATTAGTGCCTGCTCCCCAATGCCCTCCCCACAGGGGAAGGTGGTAAGACAGTGCATTTCCCTTAAAAAGGAAGGGGGCGATGAGAAAGGCTCACAGGCCAAGTCCTTCCCAGAAGTGAATTAGTTCTTAGTAAATGTTTTTTAATTTCCAGAAATACACTCAGTTTAACTTTTCCGTTTCTTTACTTTAAAAGATATATTGCTATTGACAGTGTTTCAAACATGTTCTTCCCAGTTAATATTTTTAATAAAAGAGCGTTAAGGTTTAATTTCTTAATTCAAAGACATATTTGAGACAAGTCAGCCCATCAGACTTCATCAACTCTCGAGAGGAGTGCCTTATTTTCTCTCCTCTATATTCAGCTAATAAGCATGTGACCTTTTGAAATGTTGGCTTACGGCCTGAGAACTAGTATGACTCATCTCTCAGACCTTCTGCAGTCCTGATCTGATTGCTCTCCCTGGAAAAAAACAAATAATATTAGTTTCCTAGTGAAGCCCCTGGTCTATTTTCTACCTTATTTAAGAATCATACAATTAGAATTATTAAATGCGATAGTTATTTCTTGATATCTTTCAGCTTTAACTTATCCAATTAGTATTTTTTTTCAATTTAAACTTTTTAATCAGCCTGAATACATTAAAATGATTGTCAATATCTTGATTAAATTCTTCAATTTTATTAGAATTTTGTTGGATAAGCTACCACCTGCTATGAATGGACAGTTAGCCAGGATTTTCAAAGATTTGCATTATGGAGCTTATGAGGACCAAGGGGAAGGAAAGGTCGATGCACCGTCTAGAAATCTGGAAGAAGGGGGAGAGGAATTCAGGATTTGGTGGAATGATGATTTGTGCCTTCCTTCTGTAATACAAAGTTGAAATAAAATGAACCTCACTTTATGGGATAGCTAGATTCCTAAAAAAATAAACCCCCAGCAAATCTAATTTCTGTTCATTTAGTTTGAGATCAAAAACATGCAGCAAAAATATTAAAACACTCAAGGATATGAAGTGACTGGAGGTATTTTGTGATGGGAGAAATAATAAACATTTTATAAATTCTACAAAATTGTAGCTAAAATAGACACTGATTTGTTTCATTAAATCCTAGAATACTTAGTTTTGATTGACAGAATCTATATTATTTAGAAGATTAAAATTTAGGTTAAAAATGGATAATGCTGTTGTATAAATGACAGTAAACAAGAAACAAATTACCACGAAGAGATGGTAAAACTAAAAATTATTCATAAACTAAGAAAAGTCAGTTTGTTTCAAAGTACCTTCCATCGAATTCATAAAGTTAGAAGCTTTGGTGGAAAAATATCCTCTCTTCACTCTGCACCACACCCCAAACACAACGTGTCCACTGGTTATACTGACAGATCGAAAGATATCCTGGGCTGTTTTTCTCAGTACAGAAGGACTAGGGAGATAGTACCACTGACTTCCATTGGAAAATTAGAAATGGGTTTGTCTAAAATAAAATATCTAGTTTCCATATCTTAATGAACAAGAACTAGTAAGGAAAATACACACACAAAAAGAAAAAAGAAAAAAAAGAAAGAAAGAAAGAAAGAAAGAAAGGAAGGAAGGAAGGAAGGAAGGAAGGAAGGAAGGAAGGAAGGAAGGAAGGAAGGAAGGAAGGAAAAGTTCAGAAAGCATTAATGCAGAGTTTCAAATATAATTTTTATTTTGGTGTCAAAAGTTTAAAATGTCAAACAGAAAACACTGGACTACGACATCTGTTTTGATTCATAGTTACCTCCTTATCTAATACAGGTGTATCTCACTTTTTACTTCTAATAAAATACAGTTCTATATATGTCAATTTTTCAAACAACAAACACTAAATGTACCAAAAAGCTTTTAACATTTAAAAAGACAAATAATTAGTTATTATGAAGAAGTCTTCCTGTAATGTAATATATCTTTCCGCTAAATTATTTGGTGGAAACTAAGGTGACTCGTCTTCATGGTTCAGAGAAGGTTTTTGCCTGTACTGTCTCATTTGGTTGTAGTAACAGCCAATACTTATTGGCTACTATGTGCCATGCGCTGTACTGAGTGCTTTACTTAGATGATATTATTGAATCCTCACAACACTTTTGTGAAGTAGTTACTACTAATGATCCCATTTTACAGATAAGAAAGTAGTATGGAGTAAAGATTTGAACTAGTCTAACTCTAAAAGCTATCCTCCTTAACTATCCGTCTAGAAAACTTAACTCTACAAAGTGGGCAGAGCAATCTACAATAGCTAGGATTTGGAAACAGCCTAGGTGCCCTTCAGCAGATGATTGGATCCCAAAACTTTGGTACATCTACACAATGGAATACTATGCTGCCATAAAAAAAGAAGGAATTCTTATCATTTGCAGCAACTTGGATGGAACTGGAGAACATCATGCTGAGTGAAATAAGCCAGTCAATGAAAGAGAAATACCACATGACCTCACTCATTTATGGATAATAAAGAACATTATAAACTGATGAACCAAAAGATAGATATAGAGACAGTAAAGCAACAAGCAGACTGTCAAATTACAGCAGGGAAGGTAGGGAGATCTGGGGGAGATAATAGATCAACCAAAGGACTTGTTGGCATGCATATAAGTACAACCAATGGACGAAAAACTCTGGGGGCTGGGAAGGGGGCATGTATAGAAGTGAGGGGGGCAATGGTAAGATATGTACACAGATAATAATTTAATAAAAATTAAAAAATTAAAAATAAAATAAAATCATGTTCTAGAAAAAAAAAAAAGATTTGAACTAGTCTAACTCTAAAGGCCATCCTCCTTAACTATCCGTCTAAAAAACTGAGCTCTACAAAGTGGGCAGAGCAAACAAACTAAATATGAGGTGTGAGTCTGTGGGGGTTAACTGACTTACCTAAATAAACCCTGCTGGCAGAAATATTAAACCAAGGTGTTCTGACTCAGATTTTAAATTCAATATTCTTTCTACTATATTAATATTACATGCCAACTTTTTTCTAAGCAAGGCACACCTCTGCTCCATAGCATGAATCCACACAATTCTCCTTGGTAGCACAGATTTTGTTTTTCTTAATTCAGACAATCAAATTGTTAAAAAATAATAATAAAATTTTAAAAGCTAGTAATAAATTCAATCATTTTAGGTAGCACATAAATAAGACATAGCAGAGCTGATTTGCCTACACATAATAAAAGGGACCTTTTGTTTTTGCAAAGTGAGTTAGCCAGTATTGCAAGAAACAGTCTAGTAGTTATTAGTGGTTAAAAGCTAAACTCTGGAGTCTAATTACTCAGTTCAAATCCTAGCTCTACCACCTGCTAATTTTGTCACCATATTCACATTTAGTTAAACTTTCTGTGCCTCAGTTTCTTTATCTGTAAAATGGGGTGATAATAGTACTTACCCTAAATGGTCATTGTGAAGATTATGTAAGTTAATGTGTATGAAGTGCTCAAACAGTGAGTGCCTGGTATGTGGTGAGCACTTAATTAATATCAACTAGCACTATTATTACTTTTGCACAATGAGATGAGCTTTTATTTAATATAGAAAGTACATTTTTAATTTCCTTTTTCTATTTTAAGGAACAATATTGCTTCTTTCCACAATTGTTTCTTTAGAAATAATATAATTAAATTATATTTCTTTTCAGAATACATCCTTCTTTAGCTATTATTCAGCATTATTCATTTGCTAGAACATACATGAACAAATGTCAGCCCACTTATGCTATATTTTACTTTATCTTTCATTAACCTTCCAATTTATCAAAAGAGTCTGGAATGTTATCAGCACTTAATATCATTTCATGTGTAGCATCCCACCAGTTTATATTTTCAAGAAAAACTCAAGTTATCTCCAGTCTCACTTTTAAGACACACACACAAAAAGAAAAAAAGAAAAGAAACAATATCGGGGGGCTGGAGGGAGTAGGAATAGAGAGAAAGTTCTTACCGGTACCTGAATTGTGCACTTTTGTTGTGTGCTCAGTTATACTTCCAGGTTACATGGATGCAAAAAAATCAGATTCCAAAGCCTCGATTCTAAAAGGTGGAGGCACTGCGAAGTCTAAGAGTAGCGAAGAAGAACACAAGGAAGCACTAAAGAAGGAAATCTCTTTCCCAGATACTGATGAGTCCTTGGTGCACAAAACAGAGTCAGAGAGAAAAGCAAAAGACACTGATGTGGACACAGGGAAGATAGACATGGAGGCCGAGGTAAAGGAGAGTGTCATGGGAATGCCAAAAAGAAAGGAAGCCCAGATAAAGAAAAGAGAGGCCGGAATACCACAAGGACAAGCATCCCAAGTAAAGGAGAGCGAGGTGGAAACACCACAAGGCCAAGCATCTCAAGTGGAGGAGAGTGAGGCCAAAACACCAAAAGCACCACCAGCGAAAGTAAAGAAGGGTGAGGCCAAAACGCCAAAAGGACCAAAAGCGGAAGTAAAGAGTGCGGGTGGGACGCCACCCGGGCAAAAACCTCACGAAGAAACTGAGGGTTCTGCAGCCAAAGGAAACCAAGTCAAAGAAAAGGAAGATGAAGCAAAGCCCAAAGATACCAAAAAAACTGATGCCCAAAACAAGAAAAGTGGTGAAGGGAAGGACCAAGTTAAAGGAAAGGAAGAACCGCCAGTCAAGCGTAAAAAAGCAAAAGCAAAAAAGGACGCAGGCAACTAAACGAAGGAAGTGCCAGGAGAGGAGGGAGAGTGAAGATAACTGAAAGGAAAGCCCGGAAGACAACCGATCATATGGATCCTATCGCCCAGACCCAGGTCCTGCCCCGCCATTGCTTAAACGGATTGCAGTTATAGAATGCTTACCGTCTATCTATCTGCAGAGTTTTACTCTTTAAAAGTTTCACCATTTTTACACCTCTCAGCCACAAACTTGTTTCCAACCTTTTATAATTTGATACTTATATTACTTAGTCAAGGAAGCCTGGATACTTTCTGAAATAAAACGTTTTTATTAAATACATGTACAATATTTTTTGACAAATATTATATTTGTGATAGCCTAACCAACCAAACATTAGGTGGGCCTAATGTTTGCAAGGCACTGTTCTAGCAACAAGGGATATACGGGGGGGGAAATGTCAGAGTCCCAGCAATTAAATTGTTTGTCATATATAGTGACATAATATGACAATTTTTTAAAAAATAGACTGAAGTGTCAGAATGTAGCTTGGATGGACAATATAATAAAAGTTACCAACTTCTTGGTATAAGAAGTTAAAGAGATTATCTTTATGGGGAAGGGAATGATGGTATATGACATGTCTCAAAAGATGAGCAAGATGTTGCTATGCTGATGATGTAAATAGAGCAAAAACAAGGCAAAGGGATTAAGACTGCGGTGCCATGCTCCAGGGGAGAAGGCAACGGAATGGTTGCAGAGGTCTATGGGAAGTATTCTGGGGTATGATTTTGAAAAGGAGGGTTAAAAGAAGATTCTGAAAGGATTTGCAACACAGGCTTGGGATTTGTATTGTACTCATCAGGCGAATGGAAGCTTTCTGAGGTATATGTGAAGGAGAGTCAAGTGAATAAGGTTGCATTACTAACATGATAATTTTGTGATTGTGCAAAATAGAGTGAAAGGGAAAAACAACATAGGCAGTAAATCTAGTGAAGAGGTGCTTGGAATAGTAAGTGGTGGAAAGAGAATAAACAGAAGGATGAGATGTGAAATATTTTTTCAATGAAGAATCACTACTTATGATGACTGACTACATATGAGTAAGGGGGAAAAAGTATGGCTCCATAACTTTTGAAACTGGCTGACAGAAAATCAATAACAAACTTGGAGCTAGTTTCTAGGACAGGAAGGGAACAACAAATTGAGTTTGAAGGAGCAAGCAATAATATTTATCTTTCAAGAGAGAACTGGAGTCAGTCCAACGGAGGTAACAATTGAAGGCCTAAGAGTAGGAGCTCCCCAAAGGGGCAAGGACAGAGCTAGCAGAAGTAGAGCTAGTGCAGGTGCAAGAACTACACCTGTGACATGTGGCAGGCTGGAGGAGAACGCTGACTCAGACAGGGAGAAATAGGGAAAACCTGCACAATGATGAGTTGCAAAAAGAAAGGATGGTTATAGGCTAGCCGAGACTTCAGGGAGAATAAGGCCTGAAAGACACATTGCAGGGGCAATGTAGATAGCTGACAAACTTGTAAACAGCACTTTCCAAAATCAGGTAGTGATGAGGTTTTCCAGGAATTTTATTCTTATACTATTCACTCTGTGCTGGTTAGTCCTTACTCTGAATGTTATATTCATTTTTGTTGTCACTGGATATGGATAAACGAAAGTACCTTCAGATGAGATTATGATGGTAAGGGGACCCAAATCATTTCAAGAGAGTAGGAAGTTCCAGTTTAACTTGGAGGAGAAAAACATACAAGGAGACAATAAGAATCATTTTCAAATATATGAATGTCCATCATGGATTAGAATATTTTGTATGGCTCCAAGGAAATAGCACCAATGAGTGAAAGATTCAAGGTAACAGCTTTCTGTCTCAACATAAGGGAAGTGTTTAAGACTGGAAGAGATTAAGACTGTGTGATCTCACCAGCCGATGTGGCTCTGTGTTTGAGTGTAACCTATGAACCAAGAGGTCCCAGGTTCAATTCACAGTCATCGCACATGCCCGGATTGCAAACGCGATCCGTAGTAGGGGGCGTGCAGGAGGCAGCTGGTCGATGTGTCTCATGAAGGTTTCTATCTCTCTCTACCGCTTGCTCTTCCCCTCTCCCTAAATCAATATGAGACTGCATGATCTCTGGTGGATGTGTTATGGAAGAGATTCTTAGGAATGAGCTGAGTGGTTGGAATAGATTATTTTATGAGTCTGTAATTTATAGAATAAAATTATTTTGGACTCGCCAGATGTCTCCCAAGGAACCTTTTCAAACTAACCTGATTTGCTAGAATTCTCTAGAGAGGTTTAGCAAGAGAGCCCAAACTTTAGTCCCTGCCCAACGTATGAAACATTTCATAAATGGCTTATTCTCAGTAACTGCCAGCTGAAGAGAGCAGCGCCACAGCTTCTAGCACAATTCCAACCACTATGTGGATCCCTCCCACGTGCCCTCAGCCCAGCCACAGGGGAAGCCCAAGTTCATTTTAGAGATCACAAGTGAACCACATAGATTTAGCAAGACTGCACTGCAAATGAGGGGGACAGGATGAGAATACGGAACATGGCATTTTTATATTGTAAATTACTTCCACAACTCTGGAACATTCACATTTAGAGATTTTACCATCCTTAGCTGACTTACCTTTCCTATATATGATGCTATTATCAGGGGGGAATGTGAAAAGAAGGCTTTTCATATAGTTAAACATATTCAGGTTTTCATGATCCGTAAGTCATTTTTCTATAGCTCTCTTTGGTTCACCTGCCAACTAGCTAGTAGGTTTCAGAAGGCTGTGAGAAATTCAGCTTCTCTCAGATTTCTGTTAAGAAGCAGGTACCCTGTCAGAAGCAACTACCAAAAAAACAATAGTCCAGCTCAGGTGACTCCATATCTGAATGCATATCCCATTGAACCAAGGATTCAAAAGAGATGAACCCATAGACACCTCTCTGTAGCATCTCCTTAATGTCTAACTTGCAGTGAAAACATCTCCATTCTTCCGAAGCCGGTTTGGCTCAGTGGTAGAGCGTTGGTCTGCGGACTGAAAGGTCCCAGGTTCGATTCCGGTCAAGGGCATGTACATTGATTGCGGGCACATCTCCGGTAGGGGTTGTGCAGGAGGCAGCTGGTCGATGTTTCTCTCTCATCGACATTTCTAGCTCTCTATCTCTCTCCCTTTCTCTCTCTGTAAAAAATCAATAAAATATAAAATAAAAAAAAGAAAAAGAAAACATCTCCATTCCCATTAGGTCATTGAAGGTGGGTTAAGTCATGGAATAGGAACTCCAACTGTGAGAACTGTGTGAACCGTTCAATGGCCACCAAAACCAAAGATTCAAGAATGAAAATTTAAAAGGCCTCCAGAAAAGTGAAAGAATAAGGGTGAACTATCAAAAGTACACCATGTTTAGCAAAATGATGCAAATATTAAGAAAATTATTAAGTATATGTACTTTCCATACAGTTTAAATATAAAGGTAGAAATGTAGAACTTAACAGAAAGCTAATGACAAAAAAATTTAATGTACAGATAAACTAATACAAATGTCAAACACCCTGTTCACAAAACAAACAGAAACTTACATCAAAAACTTCAAGTTGGTTTCTAAGAAAGTAGATCTTAAAAAATCTCATTAGAAAGGAAAGAAGAAAATGTGTAACTAAGGGAAGTGATGAATGCTAACTAAACTTATGATAATCACTTCACCATACACATAGAGTGTCCCATATGTGTATATGTCAGTTATATCAATAAGCCTGGAGAAGGGGAAAATCAAGTCTTACACTTTAAACATATACAATTTTTTGTCAATTATATACTAGCAAAGATGGAAAGAAAAAAAGAATGAGTGGAAGACTCACCATTAGTTACTTTATGTTTAGGAGAACAGCATTAGGAAATAAAAGCTGGAAAGTGAGTTAAAAGATGAATAAGAAATGCAAAGATATTAAGAAATCAGCAATCCTATCTAATAAAAGAGTAATATGCAAATTAACCATCACTCCAACACACAAGGTGGCCTCCCCACTGTGGTCAAAGATGGTTGCCTCCATATGGACACAAGATGGCCACCACAAGATGGCCGGCAGGGGAGAGCAGTTGGGAGTAACCAGGCCTGCAGAGGAAAGCAGTTGGGTGCAACTAAGCCTGCAGGGGAGGGCAGTTGGGGGTGACCAGGCTGGCAGGGGAGGGCAGTTAGGGGTGACTGGACGAGCTGGGGAGGGTAGTTGGGGGCTACCAGGCCAGCAGGGAAGGGCAATTATGGGTGACCAGGCTGGCAGGCAGAAGTGGTTAGGGACAATCAGGAAGGCAGGTAGGTAAGCAGTTGGGAGCCAGCAGTCCTGGATTGTTAGAGGGATGTCTGACTGCCCGTTTAAGCCCGTTCCCAAGGGATCAGGTCTAAATAGGCAGTTGAACATCCCTCAAGGGGTCCCACATTGGATAGGGTGCAGGCTGAGCTGAGGGACACCCCCAGCCCATGCACAAATTTCGTGCACCGGGCCTCTAGTTTGTATATAAAATGGAAAATCCTTGTTCTTATACTGAGACACGATAAGAAAGGACCCTTGCTTCTGGGTCTCCCCAGCCAGTTTTTTCCTAAGGTAAGAAGAGAGAAATTTGGCCCAGCAGGATAGGCAGGAACAAGAATACTCTCCCAGGAATGCAAATGAGCAGAAAAGAATAGCCTTTCCCAAGGGGCTTTCCAGTTTTCACATGCTGCACCCCCTCAGAGAACCAGGGGACCCTGGGGGTTCCCCAGGCTTCAGGAGGAAAGAAGTCCTCACCTCCAGTACCAATACCTCAAGTCTACCAAAGCCTTCTGTTTCTCCCTAAAGATCTCTCTAGAACCACCAGCTGCAGAGGAAAGGATGGGAATCATGAAGCACTTGCTGCATGTCACTGTCCTTTATACTCAAATACAATAAACATTTGCTAAAAGTGCTGGAGAGCAACAGGACAGAGCCCACTGGCCACAACCCAGCATATCTAGTCCCTTTGTCCTCTGGATATCCGGCCTAGGGAACAACAGCCCACACCCAGACTTCCAAGCAATTGAAAGTGGCTACCCTATTCATTCTACATTTCATTTTTCTAGCTGGACAAACAGGTTATTGGCAATCTTAAATTTCCCCAAGAGCTCCTGCTCCGCAGATAAGAGCTCCTATGCCTCCCTTCTGTTAGGTAAGAAGCAACTCAACAAGTAGGGAGGAACAGACTTCCTTTAGGAGAAAGTAGTGCTTTGAATGATAGACGATCAAGAGGGCGAGACAAAGGGACCAGAGGCTCTGTGGCAGACTGAGGACCCACATAA